GCTGCTGATGATGATGATTATGATGATGCTGATGATGCTGATGATGATGACTATGATTCTGATGATGATGGTGAAGCTGCAGCTGATGATGATGCTGACGCTGACGCTGTTGCTGCTTATTATAATGATGCTGATGATGCTGATGATGGTGATGATGATACTGATGATGCTGATGATGCTGCTGATGATGATAATGATTCTGATGCTGATGCTGATGCTGATGCTGTTGATGCTGATGCTGATGACGATGCTGATGCTGCTGATGACGATACTGATGATGATGATGATGATGATGATGCTGATGCTGATGATGATGCTGATTATGATGATGATGATATTGCGGATGCTGATGACGATGATACTGATGATGATGATGATGATGATGATGACGATGATGGTTCTGATGATGCTGATGACGATGATGCTGATGATGATGCTGGTGCTGATGCTGATGTTGATGATGATGATGCTGCTGCTGATGATGATGATGATGATGATGATGATGATGATGCTGATGACGGTGATGATGATGATGATGATGATGATGATGATGATGGTGGTGGTGGTGGTGGTGGTGGTGATGATGATGGTGGTGGTGGTGGTGGTGGTGATGATGATGATGATGATGATGCTGATGATGATGATGATGATGATGATGATGATGATGACGACGACGACGACGATGGTTGGAATTATGGTAATGAAGACTGTGATGACGCTGATGCTGATGGTGCTGATGATGAGCAGGAAAGAGCAGGGACAAGGCGGAGGAGGAGGAGGAGGAGGAGGAGGAGGAGGAGGACGAGGCATGCCGATGAGCAGAAAAGAGGAGGGAGGAGGGGAAACCGGAATGAGGAGGTGCAGGACGAGCATGTCGTTTCGTGCCCAGGGGTGCGTGCAGCAGCTTGCTACGCCTCGGGTGCGAGATGGCCCCAACAGTCCGTGCATTCTCGACCCGTCCTCGCCCGACAAGGAAAATCTGTGGCCAGGCGACACTCGGCCAGGCTGAACTCGGCCACGCCGAACTCGGCCAGGCTGAACTCGGCCCGAGTTCAGCTTGGCCGAGTTAAGCCTGGCCGAGGTTGGTCGGCCGAGTTCAGCCTGGCCGAGTTCCTCTGGCCGAGATTCGCCTGACCGAGTTTCTTGGTCGAGCTCAATTGCTGCCACCCTGCTTCCCCCCCTCCTCCGCGCGAGAGTGACACCACCCGTGGGGAGGAGAACCGCCCCGACCCCCACGGTGGGCGTCTGCTGACGCAGCCCTGTGCGTGTGCCAGGCTCGGCGGCGAGCGAGGCCAGCCTTCCGAGAAGCTTCCTAAGCCTGCGCCGACGACGCAGAACACCTCTCAGAAGGCCCGAGGGCTTCTGAGAAGCCCCGCCGCCTTCTTCAGGAGCGACAAAAGGACGTACACGTACATGAATCCACGCTGGTTTCGAGAGTACGCATTGCGCAAATGTTCGTATAACGCGGCCGGTCTCGCGGATCGAGGGGCCGTGTTCATGTACATAGCTGGGCGCGTACGTCCTTTGTGGGATCCCTACTTCTGGGAGGGCCTTCTCCTTCTCACTTCTTCCCCTCGGTCGCCGCCGACGGACAGCCCCGTCCTGCTTCCGACTCCCTTCCTCGGGCGCGTCTGCGGCGGCGCTCCGGGTGCAGGGCTGCTCACTGTGAGAGGGCGGCTCTTCGCGCAGCCGGCTGCCGTTCGGTCCGGGGCCCTCACTGGAGAGCCCCCGTTCCTGACCCTCCGCAGCCAGAGACACGGCCTCTCGGTGCCACGGACCGGGGCAGTGACAGGGGAGGATAGGCTTAGGGGGGGGATGCGTAATCCCCCAATCGGCCGGATAGCCGCAGCCTGCCCAGGGAGGTGTGTATTCGCCATCGGGGGCCCATCGCCGATCTGTCGGCGATGTGTCGCCGATTCCAGGTCGACGTTTCCCCCCCCTCTGCCTTCCCCCCCCATCGTTGCCCCTCAACATGCGGTGCCCGTCTCGTTGGGTCGTGGGAGTGCGTGACCCCTCTCATGCCTCGAAGAACGGTGCAGTGGGGGCCCGTGCCAAGAAACATCCTGCTTGCCTCCAGGGTGCCCTCGGTTTCTTGGGTCTCGATGGTTTTGCTGTGGAGGCGTGACGTTCCCACACCAAATATCAATGGACGTCCTGGGGTCTCAGGGTTGGGTTTCCCGTCGAAGATTTCTTGTGGTCGGGCCCCTACTGTATTCTTCTTTTTCTGCCGTCATGGGAGCTTGCCCTTGGGCTGCACAGCCGTCCAACAGCCGATGGGCCTGCCGGAATTCCGCCGTTCAAACCACGCTTGGCACCCGCGTCATGTGAGCATTTGCGCGTGGGGGCGGGTGGATGCACTGCGCGCGCACTGCACGTGCAGTCGAGTCAACGTCTCCATTTGAGCTCATGCCGCTGCCTTTGAATAACTGGGGACCGTCCTACATATTCATCTTCTGCGCCTTATTCCATAACATTGTGTGACATCTTCGCATTCGTTCACAAGCCAATTGCGGCCAGTTTGGCTGGGCAGGATCATTTCGGACCTGGCGAATCACGGAGCCTTTCGTTGTGTTGCTTGCGTCTTGCTTGGATCGCAGTGCAGGGTACCGCCTTTTTGCCCTCCGCATTGTGCGCGAAGTCTTCAGACCAGTCAGTCTCATGTCCAGTGCCCACAAGTAGCCTGGGCTCGAGCTTGCAGTGTTCATGCTGCTGTATCTTACGATCGCTGATGATATTAGTCGGAGACGAATATGATACCTGGTGATGATGATGGGGATGCCGACGAGGGGTACACAAGAGGAAACTGATGCTGATAGCTGCCACTGCCATTACTCATTATCTGTTCCACTCCAACTCCGGAGACAAGGGTGGTGTAACGAACACATGGGCACTTGCGCGCAATGCCTTCCAAGTCGGGAGTGCGCTGTTGCCAGGTGTTGTTTGAAGTTCGAAGCGCTGACCTATGCCCACTTTTTCGCGTGGGCGCGCTTTTGGGCGTGCCACCTTGCTGCTGCTGCTGCTGCTACTGCTGCAGCTGCCGACGTTGCCGCTGCCACCACCTCCTCCTCTTCCTCCTCCTCCTCCTCCTCCGCCCGAAGAATCCAGATGACTCCAGATCATCGCTGGTTGGATGTTTTTTTTACTTTCACTGAGATGTTTAACTCGGTCGTCGCCGACGAGTTCGAGCTGCATGTTTGCCAGCAACTCCAGGTTGTTCTGCAGCACTCCTGCTCTGTGGAAGGTGTAAGCCCACAGCTGGACTCCACTTTGCGCTCCATGCGCGAGGACCAACCTTCGGCACAGGTGTGGCGCGATCGAGCTTCGCAATTCTTAGCAGGCATCCAGGCTGATTGCGATGGGGCCATCAACGATGGCGACAAGGCGTCCAAAGATCACTGGAACTCTTGGCAGGCTAAATCGGTAGCAGTCTCCGCGAGGCTCATGCATAGGTTCACCAAGGTCCAGCAGACATGGCAGCCCGCGATCGTCGAGCGCTGCCCAGGTCTCTTCACTTCGGACCCCCCCCAGAGCCTCCGCGCTGCGGAGACCTAGAAGCTAGGTGAGCTTTGGAACGCTAAACTTACGCCGTTGCCGGCTTGGATACCAAATCGTGAATGTTTCCTGCGAGCGAGCCTATCAGGTATTCGGGCGGTTTCGCGATCTTTCAGCCGTCACACGTCCCAGTCGCTGGACGGCTACCACCCCAGGCATTGTGCCTGCCTCAGCGACTAGGGGCTGGAGGTCCTTGCTATGCTCCACGGGGCAATTGAGCGCCTGGGTATATTTCCTGCCCAGTTGCTGTGGATGTTGATGCCACCCTTGGAGAAGCCTAAAGGTGGTCTTCGGCCAATCCTGCTCCTGGGGTCCCCTGTTCGAGTTTGGGAACGGCTCCGTCGGTGTCAGTGTGACGACTTCCTGGGGAGTGCTCATCGGCCCTACTGGTCTTTCGGATGTGGTCAGGACTCAGAGGCGTCTATCTGGAGCCAAAACGTGTTCTCGGAGCAGGTTTCTTCGAGTGGTAAGTCCACGGCTGGTTTCATCTGGGACGGCATGAAGTATCACGAGTCCTTTTATCCTGGTTTGGCTCCGTGATAGGGCCATTTTTTGGAATATCCCCATGGTGCTCGTAAAGACGTCATATAGCTTCTAGAGGTCACCCAGGATCCTCAGGCTTGGGACCAACCATTCTTCCTTGGTTCTGTTTGCTAAGCATGAGCTCCCAGCTGGAAACATTATCAATGCTGTTTTCGTTAAGGTTTACGCCATGTTCGAGCTCGATATGTGGTCCCAGAGGCACCCTGAGGTCTCCCCAGTCCCCTACGTTGACGACGGCGCGGTTGCTGCGCATGGCGACGAGGATGTGATTGTAGCTAAGTCGGTGCGTGCAGGGGTTGGCCTCAAGGACGTCTTCTCCAACAGGCTGAATCTTCGCCTGGCCGAGGACACAGCTGTCACCTTCGCCTCCTCGCAGCGCCTCGCCAACCACTGGTTCCGTCGCTCGTGTGCGGCGTGTCCGCCGGCCGCGACCAACGCGGCCGTGTCACTGGGCACGGACCTGGCCCCAGGTCAGCGGCGAGCTTGCAAAGGAGGGAGAGCCAAGAGGAAGGAGAGATTCAAGATGGTGAGGAAAAGGCATCGGCTGATTTCGCACTATCGACGACCGCTTCCTCGGAACAAGTTTAGAATGCAGACGATTTGTAATGCAGGCGTTCGCCCAGCTGCTGGTTATGGCGCCACGGTTTTGGGTATGACTGACGCGGCGTTCCTGTCCCTCCAGTGTGTATTTCTAGCAGGCCGTAATTCAGCGCATTGAGGTGCCTCTCTGACGGCCAAACTTGTTTTGCATGGCGACCCTGCCTGGAAGCTGTCTGTGGCCCCTGCCCACCAGTGGGCTACGAGCTTGTGGCGAGCGGCGACAAAGCCTGACGCGCCCTTCACTCTTCAGCAGCACATTCAGATTTGGCGGGGCACGGCTCAGGGTCAGGAGCAGGATCTGGGGCCCACGGGTCGGGGTAATTCTCGGGGCCCCGTTTACAGGATGCTATTGTGCTTGCGCAGGATTGGGTAGAAGGCGGTGGGTTTTTCAGTTTGGCACGACGAACGACGATATGCTATCGACCTGCTGTGCACCTCCCCTGCCGTGTTCAATCAGCTCATGGAGGAAGGCGCCCGGCGGATGCATGCGCGTAGGGTGGCCAGCACTCTCCTGACCTCTCTCCCGCTCGCGTTTCACATGGCCCCCTTATGCGTTTGCTTCGCTCAAAGAAGTTCGGCGGTCGGGAGAACTATTGGCTCTCTGCATGTTTCTCGGGGCCTGCTGGATTGTGGATCGGATGAAAGCTTCGGGGCACGTTTCCGATTGGGCCTGTCCACTTCGTGGCGAACCTGGTTCCATAGTCCGCATGCAGTTTGTTTGTGTCGACAGGCCGTCGAGGAGGCACGCCGCGAGCATCTCTCCGACGAAAGGATCCATGCTGCGCGAAGCTGTGCTCCTGAAGATCTGTGGCTCGGCCTGAGGCGCCTCGCCCGTGGCTCGACCTCGGCCGCCTGCTCCAAGGGCCGTCAGGGGAGCCACTGTCTATCGAGGAGTTTTGTGCCCGAGCCGTCGACGCGCGGATTGTCGTCGACGGTTCGGCTAGCCAGCTTGCGTTCCGAGAGCTCAATCGGGCTACCTATCCTGCGGTCTTCTTCGATCGGTCGAGCGCGACCCCGTGCAAGGTTCGCGCTCGGCTTCTGGGAACGGCGTGGCCAGGTCTTCCCCATGCGCCCCAAGCTGGGGAGCACCTTGGAGTAGCTATGCTCGCCTGTGTGGCCACAGACCTCCGCGAGGCTCACTCTGATTGTTTGGGCGCCTGTGTCGCTCGCCATCTCCCGGGCGTCTTCCCATCTGGGCCCCAGCCGCGTGTTCGCTGGCCTTCGGAGGCGTGCCCTACAGGAACAAGGCCAATAATGCATTGCTTCGATTTTCACACACCTGCCCGCAGGTCTGAGGAGGTGATAGCCGCGCTTCCAGCTCGGGGGCGGAAGATTGTTCTTGGGGGCCAGGGTGCGGACCGTCTTTCGAAGCATGCGCTGTCGTTCCATCCGTCTCTGTCGGCCGAGGAGCTCGAGCAATTCGACCGAGATGTGGCCTTTTTAACAAAGCTAATGGTCATCTTCGGTGCGGTCCTTTCTGTGTTCCGAAGATCGAGGTCCGTCGGCATCCCGCGGCCCCTGGGGTTCAATCGCGAACCCTACAAACCATCGAATGGCACGACGGAGTTATCCTGGGCCCTGGGGGGGAGGAAACCCGCGCGCCGCTAGTTGCACCAAATGTTTCAAAACGTCGTCTGGCGATAGCAGGCCCATGACTGAATGTAAAGGTATGCCCGCTGCCCTCCGTCGAGTGCAAGGTGCCGAGAGCGAGCGAGGACACCTCCTGTGCGCGACCTTTGCGCAGGATGCGGAGTGTGCTCCTCTGCTCTTCTGTTTCCGCTGCGGTGCACTCACCAGTTAGCGATGCTTTGAGTTGGCTGGTGATTGCGATAGTGAGCCTGGCCCTAGCGGGCGGGCGAGGCGCGCTGAATCGGATGCGACGTGGTCTTCACCCTCACTACAGGTCTGAGGGTACAGTTGCTGCGGGTTCTGCTGGCGCCGCCTGTCGTGCCTCGGCCAAGTACGTACTGCTCAAGGCAGCGGTATCTGGCCCAACCTCCTCGCCCACCTCCCGCTCGCGCCTTCCTTTCGACACCTGGAATATCGGCGCTGGCGGAGAGGATTCGGCAACGCGAGGAGGCCTCTCGCGCAGCAGGATCGGCCTGAGGCCGAGGTCGTTGATGTTCTGCCCATGGGCCCTCGTGGGAAATCCTCCCCCCCTCCTCCTCCCACTACGGAGCAATAGCGAAGGGATCCCAGAACCGGGAACCTGGAACCTGGAACCGCGAACAGGGAATCAGGAACCAGGAATTCGGAAGAACCGGGACACGGGAAACAGGAACCGGGAACCGGGAATTGGGAACCTGGAGCCGGGAACCTGGAGCCGGGAACCAGGAATTGGGGATTCCGAGCTTGGGAACCGGGAGCTGGAAACCAGGAGCCGGGATTCGGAAACCAGGAGGACCTGGGACATGTGCCGCGGAATTGGGAGGGAGAGAGGGTGAACGAAAGTGATACACACGCAAACACATATATATATACATATTCACAGACAGAGAGAAAGAGAGAGAGAGAGAGAGACAGAGAGAAAATGAGAGAGAGAGAGAGAGAAAGAGAGAGGAACATAGAGAGAGAGAGAGAGAGAGGTATATACACATGTATCTAGATATATAGACATTGACAAGACACAGAGACAGAGAGAGAGAGAGACAGAGAGAGAGAGAGAGCGATCCCTCAATATGTACCCAAAGAGATCAGTACGTACACTATGCGTATGAGTGGGTACACGTTTCATTTTATCATATATATATGTGTGTGTGTGTGAGCGCGTGTATTTATTCTCCAAATAGGCTTGCCCCCCCGTAATTCCTATGCCCCCCTCCCATTTTTTACGGTCATGCCTATGCCTATGCCTATGCCTCCCCCCTGACTCCTATGCCTGCGCTTATGCTGATGTCTATGCCTATGCCTATGCCTATGCCTTTGCCTATGCCTATGCCTATGCCTACGCCTATGCCTATGCCTATGCCTATGCACCACCTGCACTTGATCGCTGGCTCTTGCTTGCTTGTTCTTGCTCGCTTGAGCTTGCTTGCTTGCTTGCGCTTGCTTGATTTTGCTCCTCCCGTCTTCCTCCCGTCCTGCTCCCGTCCTCCTTTCGTCCTCCTCCCATCCTCCTCTCGTTCTCTGTCCTCCTATCTATTTGGAGTCACCGCTGGCTGATCTACGTTTATGTGTATATATATATATACATACAAATATGTATGTCGTTGTATAGAGGGAAGGAGGAATAGAGAGAGAGGGATATGTATAGGTAATTACAGGGTTCCACGTGTGCATTGATATGTGTACCGAGTGAGGCTCAGGTAGTTATATTTATATTCAAGCTCAGTCGTATCAACTTCATATCCGCACGCAGAAAATAGTGTATCCACTATTCATAGGTGTGCAAACGAATGTGTGTATATACGTATGTTAGCACGAGTATATATAACATCGTATTGCTAGATACACCTAGAGAGAGATAAAGAGAGAGAGAGAGAGTGAGAGAAAGAGAGAGAGAGAGAGAGAGAGAGAGGGGAGAGGGATGTATCAACCAAACGTGAACGCATATACATGGGTATGCCAATAACTGTGTACATGCAAACAATAATACAGAGAAGCACACACATAGGTTGAATATATATATATATATATACATATATATACAGATGTGCACAGATAATCTGCGAACGTGTATATACACAAGGCTGTTTCAGTATATGCACTTCTACTCACAGAAAAGTACACGTGTAGGGGAAACCTGATTACATGTGTTAGGATCGATAAATATAAAATTGGTAGGACGTAGAGAGAGAAAGAGAGAGAGAGAGAGATAAAGAAATAAAGATAGCGACGCACACATCTATAGATATAGATATATGAAAGAGCGTGTTCTACCGCTGCTGGCGGAAAACCGGGGGGGGGGTCACTACTGGTTCGAACCCCTCCCCCCCCCCTCCGGAAAACCGGGGGGGGTCACTACCGGTTCGAACCCCTCCCCCCCCCCCTCCCAGTTCATCATGAAAAGGGGGGGGGTCACTACTGGTTCGAACCCCCCCCCCCCTCCCTCGAACTCGAAAACTGGGGTCACTACTGGTTCGACCCCACCCCCCCTCGAAAACCGAGGGGGGGTGCGGACAGTGGTGGGGACGGTGGTGGTGGGGACAGTAGTGAGGGGACAGCGGGACAGTGGTGGGGACTGGGACAGTGGTGGGGACGGTAGTGGTGGGGACACTGGTGAGGACAATGGTGGGAACAGTGGGGACAGTGGGACAGTGGTGGGGACGGTGGTGGTGGGGACAGTGGGAATGTGGTGGAAACAGTAGGACAGTGGAGGGTACAGTGGTGAAGGCGGTGGCGAGGACGGCGGTGGGACAATGGGACAGAGGTGCAGTGGGGACAGTGGTGGGGACAGTGGTGGGAACAGTGGGACAGCTGAGTGGAACAGCGGAGGAGTCAGTGGGACAGTGGGGACAGTGGGGATAGTCGGGCAGTGGTTGGGGCCGTGGAGAAAGTTGGGAGAGTGGAGCCGTGGTGGGAACAGTGGTGGGGACAGTGGGGACCGTGCGACAGTGGTGGTGGCACTGGTGGGGACAGTTGAAGCGGTGGCGGAACCAGTGGGGACAGTGGTGGTGAGGACAGTGGTGCTGGGAACAACAGTGGGGGATGTGGTGAGGACGGTGGTAGGGACCGGGAGTCGTTTCCTGGCGTTGAGAGGGGGGGGTGGGGAGGGGTTCGAACCGGTCGTGACCCCCCCCTCCGGTTTTCGAGGGGGGGGGGGCTCGAACCGGAGTGACCCCCCCCGGTTTTCGAAGGGGGGGGGGGGGTTAGGGGAGGGGGGGGGTTTTGCCGGGGAGGGGGGGGGGGGGGGAGAGGGGGGGGGATTTTCGGAGGGGGGGGGGGCCCCCGGGTTCCGGAGGAAAACGTCGGCAATTTTCCACAGTAGAGCGGCGGTGGATCACGCTCTTTCTTTCTTTCTCTCTCTCTCTCTCATGTATGTATACATATATATATATGTATATATGTGTGTACATATATATATATAGAGAGAGAGAGAGAGAGAGAGAGAGAGAGAGAGAGAGAGAGAAAGAGAGAGAGAGAGAGAAAGAGAGAGGGGGAGAGAGTGAAAAGGAGAAAGAGAGAGCTAGATATAGAACGAGAGAGAGAGAGTGGATAAGAGAGGGGGCGCGGCCCATTCGAATCCATGTATATTTAAGGTGTAACGTGCCTACACCTGGAAGTAGAGACATACGTACAAACATTTTCAAATCTACCCATATGTAGCTGTATATGTACATGTCTATGTGTGTATGCATATGTATATATATATATATGACTATGTATGTATACATACACATAACAGTAGCACGTCTGAGTTATAGGTCTATAATTAATTTTATCATGTTGTAAGCATACAGTGTTATAGCTGTTTAATACATACACATATATGTGCATATTAGTGAACACATAATGTATGTTATTATACTATACACCGATCGATTAGGTTTACATGCGTATATACGACTACGTATCGGTATGCACACACACATATATACATATACATATGTATATGCACATGCACATTCACATGTACGTATTTATACGTATATAATATAGAAGCAGAGATAAACACGGAAGAGACGCCAGCAAACCAATGATATGGAAAGAGGGCGAGAGAGGAGAGAGGCGTCGACGCATGCGGACCCTGCCATTGGAACATTCGGTGGAGTTCCCTATGGTGCCACGAAGCGCTGTCCCGGGTGGCGTTGACGCATGCGGACCCTGCCACTGGAGCCTTCGGTGGAGCTCCCTGTGGGGCCACGAGGCGCTGTGCTGGGTGGCGTTGACGCATGCGGACCCTGCCACTGCGGCCTTCGGTGGAGCTCTAGATGGGGCCACGAGGCGCTGTCCTGGGTGGCGTTGACGCATGCGGACCCTGCCACTGGAGCTTTCGGTGGAGCTCTAGATGGGGCCACGAAGCGCTGGGAAGGAAAAGAGAGAGAACCCTGGAACTGGGAACTGGGAGCCGGGAGCCGCGGGCACCGGATTCCCAGAACGGAGAACTGGGAACCCAGAGCCCGGAAGCGGGAACAGGGAACCATGCAGGAACTGGGAACCAGGAGCCGGGAACGGGGAACCGGGAAGCGGAACCAGGGACCAGGAACGAGGAACCAGGAGCCAGGAACCAAGAAGAACCAGGAAAAGGAAACCGGGAACCGGGAACGACCGGGATTCAGGAACAACTGGTGGCCAGGGAACCCAGGGAGCCGGCAACAGGGAACCTGGAACCGGGAACCCGGAGCCCCAGGAACCAGGAACCAGGAACCGGGAATTTGGCGAATATCTCCTCGCCCTCCTATTCTTCCTCCTCTTTCTCCTCCTCCTCCTCCTCTTCCTCCTCCTCCTCCCCTTCGTCTGGTTCCCCGCCCTCCCTGTAGGAACCCGTGCACGGATCTTGGAAATTCGCCGGGGCAGGCGCCGCTTCTGGCCCGCAGCTGCGCCACCGAGCCTGTACAGCCGGCGACCTCTGCCCACCGAGCGAGAGCTCAGTCGCGAGCTGGGAGAGCGCGGGAAAGGCGGGCCTCGGCAACTTCCCAGAGGAGGGCACGGTGCCGATACCGCTCCACCGCCAGAGTGCACTTTCGAATTCACTGCCTGGGCCTGGGAGCCGTGCCTCGGGATCTCGAGGACCCTTCAATCGGGGGCCACATGTGAACCCTGCCCCTACCCCCCACGATTTTTCAGGGGAGGGTGGGGTTCACTTCGCTCGGGAGCTCCCGAACGAAGTGAACCCCACCCTCCCCCTCGGAACTCGTGGGGGTAGGGGTAGGGTTCACATGTGACCCCCTATTCAAGGAGTCGAGTCATGGATTTGGATGTCTGCGCGCCCGTGGGGACGGGAGGATATCCGCATCCACCGTTCCCCAGGCATCCCGGGCAGCACTCTAGCAGGGGCGGGTGCGGCAACCGCTGCTCTTCTTGGAGAGCCCTCGTCGTCACGGCTTGATTTTCACCGCAGTTCTGGTCAGAAGGCGCTCGGGAGAGGTCTGCGGAGCAGCGATATCGGCATCTTCCACTTCCCCCCGTGCACCTTTGAATGGGGGGGACTTGTGGCGCTGAGCCTGAGGGTGGGGCCGGGGGGCGCCCCTGCAGTACACCCAGCTCCAACTGCTGTTTATTTTGTTGTTGTTGTTGTTGTTGTTGTTGTTGTTGTTGTTGTTGTTGTTGTTGTTGCTGCTGCTGTTGCTGCTGCTGTTGCTGCTGTTGTTGTTGTTGTTGTTGTTGTTGTTGTCGTCGTCGTCGTCGTCGTCGTCGTCGTCGTTGTTGTTGTTGTTGTTGTTGTTGTTGTTGTTGTTGTTGTTGTTGTTGTTGTTGTTCCGGATCCGATTATTCCGATCATCCAATGATCGGAGTAATCGGATCCGATTATTCCGGTTACTCCAATGATCGGAGTAATCGGATCCGATTATTCCGATCATCCAATGATCGGAGTAATCGGATCCGATTATTCCGATCATAGGGGCGCCAGCGAGCGTCGCCGGTTTGTTGTTGTTGTTGTTGTTGTTGTTGTTGTTGTTGTTGTTGTTGTTGTTGTTATTGTTGTTATGTGTTCATGTTTGTGTTTGTGTTTGTGCTTGTGTGTATGTGCGCGCGGGTGTGCATGCGTGTCCTTTTCACCACCACCACCACCAATCGAATGGCTGCATGGCCGTGGCTGGATTCTTTCACCACGACGCCTTCGACTAAGTTCGCTCGCAATTGGCACTTCCATCTGCCGACCGCGCCTGAGGTTCCTCTGCGCCGCCGACTTAGAAGTGTGTGTGTGTGTGTGCATATATGTGTGTGCTTGTTTGCGTGGGGGAGGGGACGCTTCCCCCGACAGCTGCGTGGCAAAGGTCACCCGGCGCAAGGGTCCGCCCTCGGGTAGAGCCGAAAGCGGAATGGCACCTGGAGGGCCTTCTCCTCCTCCTCCTCCTCCTCCTCCTCCTCTTCGTCGTCGTCGTCCCCCTCCTCCTCCCCCTCCTTCCGGAGGACCCCCCAGAGACTTCGGAAGACCGCCGAGGACCTCCTGAGACCTTTGGGGGCCTGTGGAGGTCTCCAATGACCTCTTGGAGGCCCATCGCCACAGGAAGTGGAGGAGAGGGGAGGGGGACTACAGCGTTCCCCCGCCTCTTTCATCCACTGTTTTCTCCTCATCTTTCTCCGCCTCCCTTCTCCGTCATCCGTTTCCTTTATCGCCTCTTTCTCCGCATCCTCCATCTCCTCATCCGTCCCTTACATCCCCGCCTTCTCCAGGCCGACGAGAACCTCCTCCTCTTTCCTCTCCCTCCTCCTCCGCATCCCCCTCCCCGTCCTCCTCCTTCTCCATACAGTTGAGAACCTTCCTCCTCCTTCTCCGCATCCTTTCTCCTCCTCTCCTCCCACCTTTCCTCCTTTCGCCCTCACCCCCCCCTTCTTCCTCCCTTCCCCTCCGCCTTCTCCCTCCTTCCTCCCTCGTCCCTACTGCTGCTTTCTCCCTCGCTTGCGCAGCCATCTTGGCTCACGTCGCCTGGCGCCCCTGGGCATAAGACCCCCTCCCGCCATGGCCGGTGGCCAGGTGCAGCATGCGCCAAAGGCGCGGTGCCTCTCGGGATGGGGCGCCCTGGCAGTGCGGGACGGAGCGGCGACTCTCCAAAACCACGAGGTGGGTCAGGGGCGCCGACCAGGGGCTCGAAGATCGAGGCTCGATGTTCGCTCTCTGGACGTTTTGCGGCCGTCCTGGGGGACCCTCGTGGCCGCGGCTGGCTCCGCCTCGAGATTCTGGTTCGGAACGCACTCCGGAGAGGTCGAGGGGCCGCTTGTCGGTTCCCCATCAGGGGCAACGACAGGGCAGGGCTCCAGCTAAACGGTGTTTTGGCGATTTCGTGGGCCGCTTTCGTCTTGACTTCGTCTCACAGCAGATGCAGAACGGAGACAGAACGAAGGAAAACGAACATGAAACGCACAGTTTGCAGTCAGCCCGTATAGCAAGGATGGGCAACCTTCCCAAGGGTACCCTTGCATCCTGGTAGGCTCCTCGGTCCATCCTTGGCCACTTTTGTTGGCCGCGCCCCGCTCGCAAAGCTTCGAAATGGGCGTCCAGGGCCCTTGCATCCTTATCGCGCGTCCTTGCTATACGGATTGACTGTAGCTCGAGCCCTGCGATAGGGGACGGAGTGGCCCAGGGGGGGAAGCATCGACCCCTAATCGCCTTTTCATCGCCGATCGGGGCCCGGGCCCCCCCACCCTGCCCCGGGCGATGTGCGGTTTCGCTCTCTCTCTCTCTCTCTCTCGGGGGCCCGTCGCTGATCTGTCGGCCATGCCTCGTCGGTGTCGGGTCACTGTTCCCCCCCCCTCGGGGCCAGTCCCCCCTGTCGACCCCCTTCTGGAGGAGCGTGGTGAGGGGGAACTCCTCCTCCTCCTCCCTCCTCCTCCCTCCTCCTCCCTCCTCCTCTCCTCCTCCTCCTCTCCTCCCCTCCTCGCTCCTCGCTCCTCGCTCCTCGCTCCTCCTCCTCCTCCTCCCTTCTCGCTCCTCCTCCTCCTCCTCCTCCCTTCTCGCTCCTCCTCCTCCTCCTCCTCCTCCTCCTCCTCGTCCTCCTCCTCTTCCTCAAGTCGGAACCTGGGTGTCCGTGAAGCGATCCCAGGATGGAAGCGGTGCCGGGGGCGTGCAGCGCGGCGCGAAGCCGCTGAGCCAGAGGGAGGAGGAGGAGGAGGAGGAGGAGGAGGAGGAGGAGGAGGAGGAGAGGAGGAGGAGGAGGAGGAGGAGGAGGAGAGGAGGAGGAGGAGGAGGAGGAGGAGGAGAAGGAGGCGGGGGAGGAGGAGGCGGGGGAGGAGGAGGAGGAGGAGGAGGAGGAGAGAGGAGGAGGAGGAGGAAGGAGGAGGAGGAGGAGGAGGAGGGAGGAGGAGGAGGGAGGAGGAGGAGGAGCAGAGGAGGAGGAGGAGGAGGAGGAGGAGGAGGAGGAGGAGGAGGAGGAGGAGGAAGGAAGGAGGAGAACGCCGGGCACCGTCTCTTCAAAGCGATGACCCAACACCACAGGACCGTTGGGAAAAACGATGAGAAATCAATGGTTCTGGCATCTGTTTTTGGGCCTCTTATGACGTCTTGCGGCTATCTTGTACCGCCTCGGGAACTTGGGCCATCTTGGATGCCTTAGTGGTCTGCCTCGGCCGACTTGAAAGCTGGGGGGCGCGGGCCTACAGTGGAGGCCCGTGCCAGGAATCACCCTGCTTGCCTCCAGGGTTCACTGGGTTTCTTGGGTTTCGATGGTTTTGCTATGGAAAGCGTGACGTTCCCAGACCAAACTCAACGGGCGTTCTGGGGTCTCAGGGTTGGGTTTCTTGTGGAAGGTTCTTTGTGAACTGGCCTCCGCTGTATGATTTTGAGCGGGGGATCGTATCGCGGATCGTGGCCTCGTGAGCGCGGACCCAATAATTTTTAACGAGAGGTTGTGGCCTCAGGGGCGCGGACCCACAGTTTTTCTCCGAGGGATCGTGGCCTCGGGAGCGCAGACCCTTCTCTTGCAAGGGATCGTGGCCTCCCGGGGGATCGATGCATGCAGCAATCCGCGGGTAGAGTGGGGGTAAACCCTGTAGTCGTCTTGCAGGCTGCTACAGGGCACTTGGAGGAGAGGAGGAGAGGAGGAGGAAGAGGCGGAGGCGGAGGAGAAGGAGTAAGACGAGGCGGAGGCGGAGGCGGAGGCGGAGGCGGACGAGGAGGTGGAGGCGGAGGCCGAGAGGCGGAGGCGGAGGCGGTGGCCGACGCGAATGCGAAGGCGTAGGCGGAGGCGGAAGCGGACGAGGAGGAGGTGGAGGAGGACACATATTAGTAATACTGCTACGCTTGCGAATGATAAAGCCAATGATCGTACCACTAAGCAGAAGATGAGGATGATGACGTAGATGGATAATCGTAAGACGATTATTACAACTATTTGGACTACGGGTGCTAATTCTTAGATCAAGGCGAATGATGCCATTACTCGTATCCTGTTCGTATTATTCGTATTACTACGAATGGGGCATTCTACTATTATTGGTACGAAGAAGTTTAACATTGCAGGTACGACTAACACCACTACGATCGAGGAGAATGATGATGATGAGGAGGAGGAGGAGGAGGAGGAAGAGGAGGATGCGGAGGAGGAGGCGGGGGGAGGGAGGGGGAATGGGGAATGGGGGATGGGGAGGAGGAGGAGGAGGGCAGGAGGAGGAGGCAGGAGGATGAGGAGGAGGGGGAGGAGGAGGAGGAGGAGGAGGGGGAGGAGGAGGAGGAGGAGGAGGGAGGAGGAGGGGGGAGGAGGAGGAGGAGGAGGAGGAGGAGGAGGAGGATGAGGAGGAGGAGGAGGAGGAGGAGGGGGTTGAGGAGGACGACGGCGAGGAGGAGGAGGAGGAGGAGGAGGAGGAGGCGGAGGAGGAAGGAGGAGAACGCGGGGCACCGTCCCTTCAAAGCGAGGACCCAACACCACAGGACCGTTGGGGAAAAAACGATGGGAAACCAATGGTTCTGGCATCTGTTTTTGGGGCCTCTTATGACGTCTTGCGGTTATCTTGTGCCGCCTCGGGAACTTGGGCCATCTTGGATGCCTTAGTGGTCTGCCTCGGC